ACAGGTGTGCTGGGAGAAGGCTCGCCACGGCCAGCCCAGCCCTCTCGCCTGTCTCTGCTCAACCCCATCTCTCCAGCCCCCCGACCGACAGCCAGCAGCGCTATTTTTATCAGGGCTATAAAAGCCCCATCCTGCCGGCGTCACCCTCATTTTCTGCTTGTGAGCCAGCAGGAGAAGGAGAAGCCACTCACCTGCGAGCTGCCAGCGTGTCACCGGAGCCAGGTGAGGAGCTGCAGCCCAGCACTGGGCCGGGTGCTGCCTGTCTGGCGGGAGAAGGTGCTGGGCATGGGGTCCTGTTGGAGACAGCAGGGGACAAGCCCAGAGGAACCCCCCCAAGGGGAGGAGATGGGCTTAGAGGCACTTTCCTGGCTGTCCCTTAACTCATCTCTTCTCTCCCACCTGTATTTTCTTATTCCTTTCTGATCCCCTTTCCTCTTCCCTTTACTTTCTTCCTTCCTTTTTTTCTTTCTTTCTGTTTTTCCACCGTCTCTCCCCACCCTACTGTGTCAGCTTAACCTGCCCCACTCTGTTTGGCTTTCCCAGGCAGCAGGTGTCAAGCATCCATCCACCTCTTGGACTTTACCCTCGAGCAGTGGCTGCAATGAGGACACCAGCTCCCAGCCTAGAGGGACTTGGCCAGGAAGAAAGGATGGGGAAGGGGCACTCTGCCGCCTGCAGCACAGAACCTCCCAGCCCAGAGCGACTCTGCACTTGCCTGGCGTCGAGCCCCACGTGCAAGACCTGACCTGAACGTTTTGTTCGTTCGGCTCGCGTTAGGCAGGTCCAGCCTGTCTGCAACAAGGGCAACTGCAGCCCACCAAAAGTGCACTCCTGGCAGGCAATATCCGTGCAGGATAAATGGGCTGGTTTGCAGCACGTGTAGCGTGATGAGCGCACATGGGACGATGTGCATATGACACACAGTCACATGCACAGTGTTCAAGTCATGAATGGAGCTTGCACAAAGCCATCAGTGCACAGAAGGTGCAAGTTGCATGCGTGCATGAGCCCATGCACATGTGCAGGACACATGCACTGATGGCACTCAGCATTGCAGGCAGTGACATGCAGGAGACACAGTATGTGTGTCTGTGGCACACAGGCACAGGGCTGCCTGCCCTGCAGCAGTCAGGTGCAGCTGCAGGTAGGTCTCAGCAGTCTGCTGGCACCGAGCAAAGCTGCTGCTGGAAATGGGGAAAGACAACAGGAGCAGGGCAGAGGACTGGGGGATTGCATCTTTTCTCTGCCTGTGCATCTGCACATGCTGCTGCTACTGCAGTCCTTCTGGCCATGTTTTGTGGAAGGTTCTTGGGGGGGAACTGGGATTTCTCTTCCAGGCCAGCGCAGAGCCCAGGGCTGCTCCTTGCCTCATTCAGACAATATGGAGTCCTGGAGAGATGGGAGATGAGACAGTGTGGGAGCCCAGGAAAAGGGGCAAAAACAGACCTCAGAGTTTAACCTGTGCAGCTCCGGAGGGAAAGGGAGCAATTGAGATGCCATGATTCCTGCTGCTTCCCCCATCCCCGTGCATATTGGCTCAGCACCCTCTGCTCCAGTGCAAGTCACCTACATCCCTGCACTGGATGGAGCAAAGGCACATACTGGGCTTATTGAGTGAGTTTGGAAAGTTTCCAGCATGTGGTGTGGGGAAGAACCAAAAGCACAGAGCAAAAAGTTCCCCCTGGAGCCAAGTCCCCTACGCTGCTCCTGACCCCCCTGGAGCCAAGTGCCAACCCTGGCCTGAGGACAGCTGCACACAATGTGTGACACTGCACAGAGCCTGGCCAGCACAGCCTGCAGCCCTGTGCTCTGTCTTCTGCTGCCAAATGTAGCCAAGTGCAAAAGCCAAGAAAGCATTACACACAACCCGATGTGCACAGCCCCTTGCAGCCACCCAACCTGGGATCAAACAGGGTATGATTAATGGTGCTGAGCAAAGCCAGACCCTGCTGCCCGCATGCTCCAGCCGCCGCACATGTCCTCTGGTGCAGATGCTATCTGGCACAGTGGAGCACTGCATGCACTGGAGATACTCACCATGGTGTCTCCATGTACCGTAAGGACACGTGCTCCCATAGCACAGTCTGGGGCTATTTGAGCCTATGAGACCCTCCTTGCACTCTGCATGTGGCTCAGGTGCTACAAAAAGCCTTTGGTTCTGTCCCAGCAAGAGCTGGAGGCAGACCTTGTGCACATGTCCCAGTGGGAAAAGGGGTCACCTGCAGAATCAGCAGGAGCAGCAACCAGATGAGCCCTGGGGTGAACTGCTCCCTGAGCCTCACAGAGCAGGGATCTGGCCTCTGTGCTGTCACCTTGGTTTTGGGTGAATAAAACAGATCAAGCTGCTTGTGCTCTGTGCCCAGCTCCATGTCCAAGCCAGCAGTGGTGAATCATGCTGGCTGGGGACAAAGCATAAGAGTCCAGTGTCACCACCACTGTCCCACAGCCCCATTTGCATCACGTTGGGCTCCTGGGGCTCTGTGCTGGGGATTTGCATGGTGCAGCTCTGCACAGGGCCAATTTGCATGGGGAGGGAAGGGTGCAGGGGGAATGCTGGGGAGCAATGTGTACCCCAGTGTGCATTTGCATACAGGTGTGTTTGCATTCAGGTGTATGTGCACATATGCATTCATGTTCATTTGCATATGTATGAGCATATGCACAGCTCAGTGTGTGTGTATGCATTCTTGCTGACCTAAAGCTGTGGACCTGGTGACTCCCCTGTCACGCTCACTGCTTCAAGTGCCCAGTATGCAGGTGTGGGTGTGTACTGCTGCTGTCTCCCCATGGGGTTCTGCCAGCTCACTACATGTCCTGCCCAGCCCAGATACTTTGTGCCATCCCAGGGCAGGCACCACTTTGCTGCAGGATGTGGCAGCTGGCTGCTGCCCTCTGCATGCCAGTGTGACAAAGGGGGACAAGCCCAAGGACCTGCTGCTTTGTACAAAGCCATTGGGGCTGTGTGGTTCTGCCATGCCTGGAGGAGACACTGGGGCTGAGCAGGGGCTCCCTGATCCATGAAGGTCACCATGCCCCTGAACTGCTGCGGGTACCCAAGCAGCTGGCACTAGGGTTGGGCTAAGGAGGCTGAAGCTGTTGTGTCCCTGATATTGGATTAATGTAGGAGGTGGGCACTGAGTACCTTCCTCCAGGACGTGTAGCTATGGGGAGCCCTGAGGGTTCCAGGCTGAGGACATACGGGGCAGTGGGCAGGAGGCTGATACCAGTGGGCTCTGCTTCAGGTCAGGCTCTGGACCCGAGGACCACCAGTTCTCCTGCCCCACTGCCTGGCATCCCTATGCAGGCAGGGTGGAATAGGTCTGGGGTACCCCTGTGGCTGGGAGGAACCTGTCACCCTTTTGGAGTTCACCTGGTCGTTGTCATGCTCCCATAGGGCAGAGCTGGTGTGGAGATGCAGCACTTGCCACCTGCTCACACCCAGGCTGTAATCCACAGGCAGGAGGCGAGCAGCTGGCGGAGCCTCTCTGACCTTCAGGTGGGATTAGTCCCCATGGGAACAGCAGGGAGCAGGCAGGTGAGGCCACTGCTCCTGCAGCAGCGTGGGGACCCAGCAAGGCTGTAGGGTGACTGGACACCCCCCACAATGGGCACAACTGGGTCCACCCCCGCTATTGGGGTCTATTACCAGCTCCAGGTGCACCCTTACTATTGGGGTCCATCTCCACTGTGTGCGCACCCCAAGACCCATTTCACACTCAGAGCACTGCAGAGTATCTGGGGGACACACAGGGACCAGCACAACCTGGCAGCACTCCAGGGACCCCAATGCCTCAGGGTAGTGTGTGTGTGAGCTGTGTGTGGGAGCTAATCCCAGCAACATCTGCCAGACTGCTTGCCATGTTTCCGGCTGTGGGCAGGGAGCAGGATGGCTGTGCAGGGAACACGTGTGTGTGATGGCTCCTGCTGGCAGGGGAGCCTGCAGCACCTATTGGCCAGCCAAGCGTGTGATGGTGCAGGTGCCATCCGCAGCCAGCAAGGAGCAGAGAGGCAACAAATGTCACTGGGGCATAATGAGCCTCAGCTATGGGGTCCGGGTGCCTTTGGACCTTGGTTGGAATTTACCCATCCTTCTTGTTCAGGAAGATGATTGAGGACAGCAGGATGTTATATGCATCCTTTCCAGAGAAATGAGTCTGTGGGAAAAAGTGAGGAAAAGGGAGCAGGGAGGCTGGGTGGGCAGATGATGCGTTGCCCCCGATCTCATCAGCCAGCCCCTGCAAATAAAAGCCACCTGTTTCAGCCCTGGCAGCAGGAAGCCATCTCCAGAACAAACAGAGCACCAGGCAACTGAAGGAAAGGCAAACAGGGGCTGGCACCAGCTCCATCTGCTCCCTCCCAGTTCCAGTCCTGGACCTCCAACCCCAGGTGCGACAGTGCAGCCCCCAGCAATGATGGGGCAAGGGGAGCCTAGGGGAACTGTCCTGGTCCACCAGCCTGGGTTCTTAAAATAACGGTGGGAAAGGCAGTGTGCTGCCGTGAGCCTCAGATGTGTGCCAGATGTGGCAGATACCCAGGCAGAGCCATGTCCCCTCCCTCGGCAGACAGCTGATACAGGGCACAGGCTGTGCCCACGCGGATGGGGAGCACAGCAGGGGAGTGACCCCGTGCTGGGGCTGGTCCGGAGAAACCCGATCTGTTTTGCTCCTGCAAGGAACAGGATGAGCCGGGAGGGACACGGGGCCCTTATTAAATTAGCCTATGCAGCAGGCCCTGGACGAGTGTTCGTCAGCTCGCAGAACCAGTATTAGCAGCTGCCTTTGAGCAGGCTCACTGTCTGCCCCCGCCTGCCTCCCCCTGCCCGTGTCACCATCCCAATAGACATTGCAGGTGACCAAATGACACGTGAGGATGCTAGTGGCAGGGACCGCCTAGGGCCACAGGAGATGCTTGGGGGGGGGGGGGGGGGAGGAGGGGAAGATGACAGGCAGTATCAGAACTCTGGGGTGCAAAGGGGAAGGGCTCTGACCATGGGGATCCCCTCAATCTGCTGTTCCCATTGGGGGCTCACATATGGCTGTCCCAGTGTGCAGGGATGACGGAGGGGTCAGAGAAGCAGGGATGTGGCACAGCCCCTACCTAGGGGTCAGTTTTTCTTCCCACTTCTCCCTTCTCCTCCTCCTGGGTGCTTTTGTCTGAGAGGTTGCACCAGGCTTCCTGTTAGGGCTACATGCCCATAAGATCGCATTAGCGCTCAACAGATCCTATAGCACAACATCCATTACCCCCCCCCAAACCTCATCCCATATGGGATGTTCAGCCTACATTCCATACACTCCAGTGCAGGGGCAGGGACTCCATCATGTACCCCACAGCACTCCGTAGCCCCAGGCTGTCTACAATCCCATCTCATCCCACCCGATCTCAAACAATCAGTGCTCCATTCTGTATCCTGACACACGGCGATGGGGCTGCCCATACCCATGCTCATACACTTCGAGGAATGTCCCCAGGCCACCCTGAGCAAGTGGGAGGTGTCACCCCACTGTGCCCTGCACAGAGTCGGCAGTGCTTTGTACACCCAAAAGAACTGCTGTATAGCGCTGTCGCTGGGCAGGAGCCGGCTCCAAGCGCTGCCAGGCTGCACCCTCTGCTGGGACCTGAAGGCATCGGCACGGCATGATGGGGACAACGCTGTTCACACTCCACGAGGCGGCCGCAGGGGACAACGGGGCTCCACGGGAGCTCCGCACTGTGGAACAGAGCAGCCAGCCAATGCACGGAGGGGAACAAGAAAGGCATGCTGCGTGCTGTCACCCCCCAGACCCCAGTTCTTGCCAAGAGGGATGGATGCTGCAAGAACAGGGCCACTGGGAGGCCCCATGTTGGCCTCATCCAGTCTGTCCCAGCATGGAAGGCCTTTTGCCAGGCTGGGGCCATCGTGAGCAAAGAGCGTGGAGCACTGTGGGGACATCAGCTGGGGGTGCTGCCCATCTCCCCAGATGGCTGAGCCACAGCCATGCCAACGCTGCTTCTGCCCGCCGCCACCATCCCTGGCACAGGCTGCGGGTGCCCTGGGAAAGGCAGTGCCCCTAATCCCCAGGCCAAGCGGGGACATTGTCCAGGGGCAGAAAGCAAAGCGACGCGTCAGGCCCTTTGCCCATTGTGCCCTGAGCCCCTGTGCAAACACAGCCCAGCGTTTTCATTGTCAGCGGAGGGTGGCGCGGGGGGGCCGCTCTCGCCACACTGCCTGAGTGGAATGGACAGCAGCAGCCTACCCGCTGGGTGCCCCAGCCCCCCCGCTGACACAGCGCATAGCCCCCCTCACAGCCCCGCTTCACCACCCGCTATATAGGGCTGGGGAAAGCCAGAACCGTCACCACCACCTTCGCCTCTGTGCCCTGCGACCAAGTAAGTACCAGGCTGTGAGCCTCCGAACCCCACTGCACCGCTGCTGCCTTCGCCCCTCGCGTGAATCCTCCCATAGACAGCAGAAGGGTGTTGGGTTCATCCTTGCAAGAGATGTGCCATCTCACACGGGTCCAACAGGCACCCAGACCCCTCAGCATGCAGGGCAAGGGGCTTGGGAGCAGCCCCACACATTGGGCATATTACATGGAGAGAGAGGGCATTGCAGCTGGAGGGGTCTTGAGGTCCTCAGAGACCCCTCAGCTGTAAGGGAATGGGATGGGAGGTGTCCCCTGACCAGCCTGGAAAGGGCCGGTGACAGAGGATGACACCCAGGTGACACCGGGGCTCTGCCCACAGCTGAGCTCCCCGCATGACCAGCGAAGCCATGGACACTCTGGGGCAATACAAGATCACGGTGTGGGAGGAGGAGAGCTTCCAGGGCAAGCGCTGCGAGTTCCTCATGGAGTGCCCCAGCATCATGGAGCGTGGCTTCCGCAAGATCCGCTCCATCAAGGTGGAGTCTGGCCCGTAAGTGCCCCCCAGAGCCTTCCTCACCATCCCTTTTTAAGGGGCTGCCTGAGAGATGTGACACCCAGGTCCTTCCTCTGCATCCGTTGCATTGTGCCTCATTTTCCCCATCTGCAAAGCCGAGGTGTTGGTGGGGAGAGGCTTTGCCTGCAGAAGAGATGTTTGATGCTGGCAAGGACCTTCACCCTGAGTACCCCTTCCTCTCCCGCAGCTGGGTGGGTTTTGAGTACCCCGAATACCAGGGGCAGCAGTTCATCCTGGAGAAGGGTGACTATCCACGGTGGGAGGCCTGGAGTGGGAACAGTGGATACCGCACCGAGCACCTCCTCTCCTTCCGACCTGTCAAGTGCGCGGTGAGTTATGGGGACAGATGTTTGGGCCAGCAAAGGACAGCAGGGATGGAGCGTGGACGTGGGATGCATGGGTGGATGGGTTACATGGGGATGTTGGATGGAGGGGTGGCTCTCACCTCCTTGCAGACATCCTGAGGTGTGCATTTGGGCTCACGTTTAGCCCCAAACTCTACCCCTACTCCTGCTCTGTGCATTGCATAGCCACCCCCAGACTGAGTACCCCAGGACTTATCCCATTAGCCTGGGGTAGGGGAGCAGACTCAGGGAGACGCTCAGGAGTGAGGTTCATCCCCTCCCTGCCAGTACCCAGCCTCAGCACAGCCGCAGCCACTATCACTCCATCGTGGGGCTGCGGGTGCTCGCAGTGCCGGCACGTCTGTGCCTCCGTGTGCCCCCCCCCCCAACTTTTAATAATCACCAGGCAGATATGCTCGGGCTTTAATAAAGAGGACGCGATAAGATCGCTCCTCGCTGGCAGGACCGCTCCACGGTGCAGATGGATGTGCATGGGGGCTGGGCATGGAGGGGGGGACAGTGCTGCATCTCTGTGTCCCAGATATTAACCCCTCAGTGCCCAGCATCCAACTGAGCCCCACAGAGATGGAGAGGCACTTCCAGCAGCCCACCTTGCCCTGCAGCCTCAGGGAGGGTGAGGATGCTGAGTGTGGGAACCACAGGGACATGAAAGCAGCATCTTCTGGTCAGCCCCGGTGAGGCTGAAGGATACTTCATGGCTCACATCCCTGCACCAAAGTTGGGCATGGCACCCCCCATGCCACATCCCCTTCCCATGCTAGCTGCTGAACCTAGCTCACTCATCCCGCAGAACCACAATGACAGCAAGGTCATCCTATATGAAGCGGAGAACTTCCAGGGGCACAAGTTTGAGCTGAGCGACGACTACCCCTCACTGCAGGCCATGGGCTGGGGCAACAAGGAGGTGGCATCCATCAAAGTGAACGCTGGAGCGTGAGTCCCACTGCCTGGGGGTGGCAGAGGCACAAAATGGGTGTTGTGGGACACTTCCAGCCCAGACAGGGGCTGGATAGGAGACCCCAAAATATAGGGGACTCCTTCCCTTGGAAATCTGTGCCATTCTTACCATGGGGCCAACAAGAGGAGAGGATGGGAAGCAGGGATTTGGGCTCTGAGCCAGAGGTGTCCCTGCAGGTGGGTGGCGTACCAGTACCCAGGATACCGGGGTTACCAGTACGTGCTGGAGCGGGACAGACAGAACGGCGAGTTCAAGAAGTACAGCGAATACAGCAGCCAGGCCCACACCAACCAGATCCAATCCATCCGCCGCATCCAGCACTGAGCGGGGGCAAAGTGGGTGCCCTCGCAGCCTGCGGGCTGCCGTGCCATAGACCTGTACCTGGTAGCAAATAAAGGCATTTGTCAAAAAATGAGTGCTCCCCTCTCCGCTCCACTCTGCCACAGGGCAAGACACTTGCCTCAGCCCCACTGATCCCCCAGCATCACACAGCCCTAAGTCCTGGGTGGGGTTTCCCATTCCTCTCCCCCCCCAAGTCTGGCCACGCCAGCACATCCGTGCCAGCATCCGGCTCCGGCTCCGCCTGGGCACACCATGAGCCCCACCCTGCCTCCTCCTCCTGCACCCTTTCCAAGCCTCCTCGTCCTCCTGCATCCTGCTCCAGCACCCCAGCTCTCCTGGGGGGACACGCCAAGGTGCTCCCTGCCTGGGGAGCATGCCGAGGTGCTCCCTGCCTGTGGAATGTCCACTGCAAAGCCTCAGAATGGTGGGGCACTGGGTGTTGGGTCCCCAGTGCAGCTGGCCTTGGGGCTGACAGGCTGGTGGGGAGTCTAGAATGGGGCCACACCTGTCTGTGTGCAAACCCTGCACCCAAAAATCCTAGCTCTGGGGTCCATGTGTGTGCGCATGTGCACTGAACAGGAGCTTGCACTCAGTGTACACATTCAAACCTTACAATTCCATACTCCTCTCGTTCCACAGCAGTATGATCCACGTAAATACCCCCTGCACCCATGCAGTCTCCCAGTGCCATGCTGCAGGGCGTCCCCACTGAGCCTCTCCCAGCCCTCTTTTGTCCCCACCCCACCACGGCCCCACGGCTGCTCGGCCTCTCCCCCTGCACAAACACATTCCTGCACAGCAGCCGGGCTGCAGGGAACCCAAGGCCACGTCAGCTTGCCACTGCGTTCCACGCCGCCCGCCTGCAGGTAAAGACCTCCTGGGCACCGACCCACAGGGCAGTGATGGGGGGAACTGCCACAGAAGACATGGGGACTGCTCTGCCCTAACCTGAAGGGGTGAGATTGCTGGATTGGGGGTGGGGGGTGAGCCATCTGCTGTTGCCAGTGGGGTGCTCCAGGGATCCCAGACCCCTCACCAGGAACCCTATGGACCTGAGCCCTTATCTCCTCTAGACATCCCCAGTCCCCTGATTGTCCCATGAACTTTGGCCCCATCCCCTTTATTTCTCCTCATCCTGTGGATCTGTCCCAGCTCACATTTGTCCCTGCTCCATCATAAACTCAGGATAATGCCTCTTGGGTCCCCAAAGCCTGCCACCCCTTGGCTTCCCCAAGGGCACAGAGCTCCCCAAACCCTGGCACCCCAACACCCCTGCCCCTCTGCACACCTCAAGTCTCTCCAGTTCCATCACACCTTCAGCCCCATGCTCACTGTCTTCCCCCATCCCATCTACCTCCCCCCCACACCTCCAGCTCACACAACCCTAACTCTGCCTGCCACATGCCCTTTGTGATGCAGGTTCATGGCTGCAGGATCTTCACCACCAGGGAGGTTGCCAGGAGAGAGAGGCTCATGGCTCTTCCCCCCCACCCTGCTGTGTCCCGGGCTTGTTTTCTGTTGCCTGAGGTGTTTTGCAGTGACTCAGGCAGCGAAAGCAAGTCTGGGAGGCTGTGGAGAGGCTGCAGGGCAGGCAAAGGGGCTGTGGTGGGCTGGGGGAACAACCAAAGGTGTTTGGAGACGGAGGCACTTTTTAAGGGCTGTTGCATCCCAGTGGCTCCCTGGGACTGGAGGAATTTGGTGGGTTGTATGGTGGGCTGTGCTCTTGTCACTTATGGAGGTGGGCAGTGAGGGTGGATAGATGGCTGAGAATATACAATCCCCATTTCAGCCTGTGCTTTGGGCACCCTCAGCCAGGAGGAGTTACTGGCCACCAGTTGTAGGATATCCCAGCCTAATCCCACCCTCCCCATGGGCTGCATGGCTGGACTGTGGTGTCTCTTCCTAAATGGCACATTTGGACTGCAGAGTGAATAAGAAGCACAAGTCTGGCACCAACACATCCTGGTTTCCATTTACACGTCGTGATGAAGAAATGCCACTGGGTCCAGAGTGAGAGCTTTAATAGACATCAATGCAACAGCAGAGGAGAGGTTGTGGCAGATGAGCAGCTCGCTAGGTGGCTGTGCAATGCTGGGGCAAGGTGGACAGCAGCACCTCTGGGCCTGTTGGGAAGGAAGGTCCATTCTTGGCTGAGGGGACAGAGATGGCACTTGGACGCAGCACCTGTGGCTGTGGGTGGTGGGGTCGATCTGCCCAGAGGACTCCTTTGGGATTGAAGTTGCCCCAGCTCCTTCCCCTCTTTCAGCCCTTTCCCTCCTTGCCCTGAATCTCCTTCCAGTCTTTACAGTGCTTGCAGAGATTGAAGGCACCTGGAACACCTGTCTCCCAGTGCCAAATTGGGCAGCACCAGCTCTGGGATTCAGCAGCCAGCAGAGCCTCCCACAGGCTGATGGAGACATGGCCATGCAGGTTGGGTGGGTGCACAGAGCCCCCCAACTGCACAGAACCTAATGAAGATGGGAACAGATCCATGCAGCACGGACTGCATAACAGGGCACCAGCAGGGTGCCAGAGCCAAGACATCCCGGTGCCATGAGTGTCTGGCACTGAGCTCATCCTCCCCAGGGCTCTGGGACCCACCCAGCTGCGCAAGGGTCCCAATGTTGGGGGGGGGACACGGTGGGACCCCACTTATCCACACCGCAGGGGCACGGGGTGCTGGGAGGGCAGAGCAGGGGCACGGGGCAGAGGGTAATGCCGAGCGGGGTGATGTGGGGGCACGGCACTGTGCAGCAAGGGGAGCCCGGGGAGGGCCGTGGCCCGGCGGTCTCCAGGCAGTGTCCGAGCCCCACTCGCAGCCGGGATGGCAGCGCCGTGTTTGCGAAGAGTTAAGGAGGCGGAAGAGGCAGGAAGCGGCCCGAGCTTCTCTCCATAGAAACCCGCGGCCGTGATTAAAGTCTGATGCGGGCCCGATAGCGGGCTGGGTTGGGAGGGGGGGGGGGGGGGGACAGCGCCCGCTTTAATTACAGTGGAGGAAATTGCTGGAGCCGGGGCCCCGAGCCCCTGCGAGTTGCCTGGAAACTCCCCCTCCTCCCCGCCTCCCTCGGCCCCTGCCCGTCCCCTGCCCGTCCCGCTGCCATTTATTCGCCATCAGCTGCTCCCTGATAAAGTGGAATAATAATAATAATAATAGGGGCAGGAATATTAAAACATGCAGCCCGCGGGCCGCCCCCACAGCTGCCATGAGACACGGCGCCGGAGCGGTGCCACTGCTGCTCAACATGTACCTGCCAGGTACGGGCGGACCCCCCCGCAACACAGCGCACCCCGGCCCCCGCCCTGCCCCGGCCCCTGCGGCACCAACCCTGCCTTCCTCACGTACCGTCCCTTCTGCTCTTGCAGCTTTTCACATCTGCACACCCTTCCTTCCTTCCTTCCTTGCCTTCTTCCTTCCTTCCTTTCTTTCTTCCTTCCTTCCTTCCTTTCTTCCTTCCTTTCTTCCTTCCTTCCTCCCATCCATCCTTCCTTCCTTTCTTCCTTCCTTCCTTTCTTCCATCCTTCATCACCCACCTGCCATCCTGCTGCCCTTCCATCCATCCAGCCACCCTTCTGTCCTTCCAGCTCATCCTTCCAACCCATCCTTCCATCCACCCACCCACCCCACCCACCCGTCCCTCTTTCTGTTGCCTCTGTCTATCCACCATCCCTTCCATCAGCCCATTTTCCCACTCTTACCTATTAGCTGTCCCTCCATCTGACTCTCATCTTCCCTTCCCTCCCTCCCTCCGTACACCGATCCATCCATCCACTCACCCATTCATCCAACCACCCACCCCTCCATCCAACCACTCATCCATTCATTCACCCACCCACCACTTCTTTCCATCCACCTCTCTCTTTCTTTCCCTTTCCCCACTCCCCAACACCCTTCCTTCACTTCCATCCACCCAACCCTCCGCTACTCCATCCATCCACCCATCCTTCCATCCCATCCCTTTCACTCTCCCCTCTCTCCTTCCCGTTCCCCTACCTCAGCCTGCGGGATTTTCTATTCCTATATAAAAGCTTCCTCAGCTCTGTCAGAAATCGGATTTCCTTTTTCCTGGACGCGCTTCCTGGCTTCACCACAGCGGTGAGGTGGGCGAGGGGGAGCGGCCGGGGGGTCACAGTCCCGCCTGGCCCCAGCCCTCCCCACACTCGCACCCCTTTTTTTTCCCACAGATCCAGTGGGGGAAACTTTATTCAAAGACGGCAAGAGCCAGGCGTGGGGATCCCTCAACCCGGGCGTGCAGAAAGGTAAGAAAACCCAACCCTTTCCCCACTCCTTGTCCCAGAAACCTGCCTCTCTCCCTGCCATCCTCTTGCAACAGGGACCCCTGGGGCACTTTCCCCTCTGCATGTCTTATCCACTGGGGTTTCCCATATGGTACAAGATGCCCTGGTGCTTGCTGCCTCAGGTTGGGGCTACTTCACTGGGAGCTGAGCTCCCAATGGCCATCCCAATGCACAGGCGTGGAATCCCAGCTCGGGTCCACACAGCGCTCTGGGGACACCCGATGGGTGTGTGGAGCCCATTCTGGGAGTGGAGAAATAGGGGAACCACCAGGGAGGGAGCTGTTGGGGCTAGGGCATGGAGTGACCAGGAGAGGATGGATCTCATGGGGTCCACCCATCCTTTGGGAAAAGCCATCCAGGGATGTAGGGGAGCAGCCCTAGAGTCACTGGACATAGGGCCGATGTGGAGTGGACACCAAGTGTTTGGGACGTGTTTCACCTGCCTGGCAAAGAGATGGATATCATGGTTTGGAAGGGTGGGAGATCAGTAAAGCTGGGGCTGAGGGTGTCCCTTTGCCTCTGCATTGTGGACTCTGCGCAGCCGTGCTCTGCACACCGCACTGCGTAAGAAGGGACCTTTTGGGGTCACTAGAAGTTTCCTTGGGGAGGCACAGAGGATGAAGCCTTGCCACCCTGGCTGCTTGTGTGGGGTGGGGTACAGCATGAGGTTCACATATCAGCCTTGCTCAGAAGTCTGCAGGGAGGGCTGTGGGGATGGGGTGAGAAATGTGAATGTGGCACAGAGATGAGAAATCCCCCATTTTCTTCTGCTGATGATGGCAGAGGTGTCTGGAACATCAGCCCCTGCACTGGGCTCTGGCTGTCTGCAGAACTGAGCCAATGTGTGCACTGTGTGAGGTGTGAGTGTCAGGCTGCAGGGGAAGAAGGAACACAAAGGAGTGCAGAGAGCACAGGTGTGGGATATCTTGTGCCAGAAACACAGCCTTGGAAAAACCTGGGCTGGCTTGCTTGCTTGGGTCAGGATGTCTGAGTGGGGTCTGACAGACGAGGGTAGAAGAGGTACAGCTGCTTCCTGGATCTGAGGATGGGAGCAGGAATGTGCAGGGGGAACTGCATGGGTGTGAGTGTGGCGGAAATGGGGTGTGGATCTGCAAGGTGGCTGTTCCTTCTCATCACCCTGGGGCTCTGGGACCCTTTCTGTCCTCCCTCAGTGCAGTTGCCTGTGTGCCTCACTGTGGGCACACCCAGGTGTGCCTGGCTCTTTTGGGCAACAGCATCCAGCCTGGCACAGGGGCATGTTGGGCATCATCAGTGCAGCCTGGAGGTGCAATGTTCTCAGAGAGGAGAGTTTTCACCTGGAAACAAGGAATGTTTGTACCTGACAAACCCACAGTATGTCTACCCTGTTCTGGGCGCTCTGGTCTCTTTTCATCTGCCAGGGTTCAGCTCAGAGTGCTGTTGCACCATGACATCACTCGCCCTGCAGAGATCTCTGTCCCTGGAGATGGGCAGGGCTGAGCTACAGCACCAGTCTCATTTTGGTGCAGAGTACAAGTGAGAAATATGGGATGGGTCTAGGTACTACACAAAAACACTGGAGCTGAGTATCCAAGCAAGCAGGTACCCACTGGGAAATGGGAAGGGAAAGCAAGGCAGAGGTGAAGGTGGTTGGGACATTTCCTGCTCCCCCTTCTCTGACTGGGAGCTCTGACCTCTCTGGGGCAGGCAGTGGGCAGATCCAGCTGTGGCAATTCCTGCTGGAGCTGCTCTCGGACCGGGCCAACCTCAACTGCATTGCCTGGGAGGGCACCAACGGAGAGTTCAAGCTGATCGACCCTGATGAGGTGGCGCGGCGCTGGGGCGAGCGGAAGAGCAAGCCCAACATGAATTATGACAAGCTGAGCCGGGCGCTGCGCTACTACTACGACAAGAACATCATGACCAAGGTGCACGGCAAGCGCTACGCCTACAAGTTCGACTTCCATGGGCTGGCGCAGGTCTGTCAACCGACTGCCCCTGATCACACCCTCTACAAATTCCAGGGCAATCTGGCCCCACTGCCCTTCTCAGGCATCTCCAAACTCAACCTCATGACCTCCGGGGTGACGCCGGCTGGTTTCTCCTACTGGCCTGGCTCCAGCCCATCTCTCTATCCCGGGCACAGCCTCCAGCCCTCGGCCCCATTCAGCGCCATGGCAGCCTCCCACCTCAACAACATGAACAACCACTACCATTAAGGCTTGGCAGATCCATCCCGTTGGTGTGGGGCTGGGGAGTTTGGTGGGAAAGGGTGGGGGGTGGGATGCTGCCCTGCTCCAGCTGCCCCTGGTGAGGTTTGGAGGTCAGTGATTCCCTGGCATGGGTGGTTGGAGGGCAGAAGGTGTCTACCTACATTTAGATTGAGGAGGGATCCTCCGTGAGGGAATGCACAGGGATGCTTAAAGCGGAGATAAATGGGAGGAGAAATCATTCCCCACCCCACAAACTCCCCTCGTGCTCAGCTCAGCCTCTAGCCCACCCATCTCCCAAAACAGAAGGGTCAGGAGCTGGAGACCCCAGAAAGCCTTGCCCAAGGGTGAGGGATCCTCCTTGCAGCTCCTTGCTCCCTGCCTTCATCCTTACCTCCACGGAACAAGGCTAGGTAAAGTAGGAGTGACAGCAATGCTGGGAGCCCAGGGCACCAAGGGGCAGGCCTGGTGTCCAAGGAAGTATCCCCACCCTCCAGAGCAGGACTTTGGCCTAGTGGATGGAAAAGTGCTGGGCTCTGCCAGCTGGGGAGGGATTTGTCTTCAATAAAATGGAGAGGTGCTGTGAGCTGTGTCTGCTTCTGTGTGCAGGGGGCTGCAACAGGGGGCACTAGCCAGCAGACCCCCCCTCCCCCCCCCCATCTGAAACCAGAGCACTGTGGGGCTGGAATGCAGTCACCCTGCCTCATCCTGCACTCCTTCCTTTCCTCAATCACCACCTCTGACTCTTACCTCCAAGAGATAGAGGGAACAACTGGTTTCTTGGGACACCCCTCTGGGGCAGCAGGTGAGGGGAGCCAAAGCTGGAGGTCCTCAGTGCCATAAGGGGTCTCTGGGCAGGTTGCAGTGTTCATAGAGCCAGGGCTGAGGCCAGATTGGTGCCATGCAAGCACATAGGGGAGTGGCCAGCCCTTCTCCCTGTGCCTCCCAGGTCACAGCAGACACAGGAGGGATGGCTGTGCTGCCCTCTCTGCATTCCTCCAGGGTCCAGTTACTCTCCTGGTCCTTGTGGCATCTGCTCAGCCATGTCCTCTCTGCTCTAATCAGCTTAAGAGAGGGGATCCGACAGCAGCGTGTCTTCCAGGGAGGGCTCAGGCTGCAGTGGGGGGCCTTAGGGTTGTGATGAAGGGAGCCCATGCCTAGAACAGTGGGGTCAAGAGGAGACCTTCCTTTGCTGTCCCTGAGCTCTGCACAGGCTGGTATAAGGAGGTGAACAGGGGGAGGAAGAGAAGCTCCCTCTATGCCAGAAGCAAGAACTCATGCTGGGGCCCCCCCCCCCCCCCCCTCAAATTTTGGCCTTCCTATCATTTACAAAGGTAAATGATAGGGAGGGGCAGCTGGATATAGCTGGCTTCATCATAGCCAGGGCAGGGATACGTGTCCTCATCAAGGGAGCGGGCGTCAGGGCTTAGGAAGAGGCATGACGCAGGGGCAGAACAGGGATTAAGGGATGTGGGTCACTAGTAGCTCCTCGCCACAGTCTTACTCCTGTCCCTCTGCCAGTGCCCACAGCAGGGAATCCCAAGTGAGCCCAGCTCCTCGCTCACTCCCAGCCCTACAAGGGCAGCTCCCTGCTGGACCTGAGTGTCCTGAGAAATGAAGAAAACACCACCCACCCTATATGACAGGCTGAGGGCGTGCTTGGATCCACTGAGGTCACCCGGGATCCCCTTGTTTGGATTCCCCCTAGAAGCAGGGATCATGAGCTGAGGGGGGCAGACAGGAGGGAGGTGGAGTACCCATGCAGGACTCTCCAGCTATGGAGGATACAGTGCTGTCACTATGGCAACCTGGAATGCTCCCATCCACAGACCCCGATGGGAGAAGTTCCCTCCATGTGATGCTCAATAGAGAGGTCCAGAGCATTGCCCCCACCCAGCACAGCTGCCCTTCACCCTGTGTCCCCGTGCCCCAGCCCTGCAATAGCATTGCTCCCTTCTGTCTCCAAAACCACTGGTTCAGAGCAGACTGCAGCAAAATCCTACCAATGGCTGAGCGGGGCTGAGCCCAACACGTGGCACCGACCGTCCCCAGCCCTGACCGGGGGTGCTCAACCCAGGGGAATGACGTGGAAGCACCATTCCCAGCAATGGGGTGCATGGGCTCAGTATGCTGCAGGCTCCAGACTTACCTGCTGCCTCGGTTGCCATGCTGCTCCTTTCATTCATGCACAGCAGAAGGAGAATGAGTGCTGCCTGCATCCATGAGGATGAAGAGGAGCTGGGGGGGATACACAGTTGCAGCCCATGCTCTGCTGCTCACCAAATGCAGCCCCAACCCTGGGTGCCCTGTGAGGAATGAGGTGGGGAACAGGGTCCCAAAAGGCCTCAGTCTGTGCAGAGCAGATGATCTCAGAGCTGTTGGTGCTGCCTCTTCATTAAAGGCAGGAGGAGGGTTTTATTCTGCTATCTTTTTTTTGTCTGTTTTTTCTTCCTTCTGCTTAAGCAGCAAGAAGGAAGGACTATGCTACTAAGGGCAGGGCTCAGGATGTAGCCCCCCTCACCCCAGTTCCCCCACATCCTCTCAGCCCCTCTGTAAGGTATGGAGGGCCCCTCTCCCATTTTAGACCCATCTCCACATATCTCATTTCTCATGCTGGGAAGAGCCTTTGCAGCACAGCTAGGTGACGTCTGCCTTCCTGCCCACACCTTCACCCCCTCTAGCTCTCCCTCTTCCCACCTCTTTTCCCCTCTCCACATGCCAAACTGCTCTGCCAGCACCCCTGTGCTGAGCTGTTGACTCACGTCCTCCCTCCAGACACAGCCTTCCCTCAGCCTTGCTCCCTGCATGGGCTACATTGCTTCTATCATTGCTTTGGGGGGCTCAAGCCCTGGCAGCAGAGCCTGACCAAGCGATATCTCCATGCACTTGTTCTGCTGGCACCCAGAGGAAGGGAAGGAGCCAGCCAGCCCCCAGGTGTCCATGCTAGGAGAGCATCTCCTGCCCAGCTGAGCACCGAGACCTTGGGCCGGATGCTGCAGAGGGCACAGGCTGGGCTGTGGGGAGGACTGGATTAATGCGCTAATGCCAGATTAAGCTGTAATACAGGACTTCTGACGAGAGAGCCCAGCCCTGTGCTCCCCCCACAACCCAGGGTCCTGCCCTGAGACACAGCTGAGCACCCCTGGCTGTGCAGCCAGCAGCTGGAGTGATACAGACAGAGAGGCAGCAGAATCCAGCAGACCCCCTAGATCCCTACAGCTGTGACCGAGCCTCACTCGAACCCATAAACCCTCCCCAGGTCAGTGGAACAGCAGCAATTCAGAACCACAGTGGATCCAGTGTCCAGACAGCTCCCACAGAGGCAGAAGAGAAAGATCCCACTTCCATTTGCCTTGAGGAACACATTATCCATCATCCATCGTTGCAGCCCAGGGCTGCAAGGCAGCAGATGTTGCAGAGCACTGGTCCCTACCCAGCCACACAGGCTAGAGATGGTTTCTCCCCATAGAGCAGTTCTGAGGAATGCTGCCAGCTCTTAATAGCCAGAGCACATTTCCCCTGCTGTCTGTCCATCAGGAGGCATAGCTCACCAGGCTGGCTGCTGCCACAGTACCCCTCCTCTGTGTCATTGCCATGAGCACATCGAGCACATGGAGCATGCACCACAGGCAGAGCAGCCAGGCTGGGGGAGCACACAGGGCTGTTGCTTTGCAAGCGCTAGGCAGAAAAAAAAACCCTTTCATTAGTGACTGACACAGCTTGGAGGGGACACGTTGCACATTAGTGGGAAGCAAGAGAAATATGCTGCAGCCTCAGGAGGGGCTACACCCAGCAGCCTGTCCCTTCCCACTAACACCCCTGTGCCAGTCTCACCTCTTCTTCAGTGGGAGCAAGGTGGGATCTGCATTCCCTGTTTTTCCCAGCAGCCACACAGGTTGCTCTGGGGGAAGGGAAAACCAGACATCTCCTGTCAGCAGGGCTGAGGCTGAGCTGGTGATGCATATTTAAATGCACAGGAGCATCTGAGCTCGTCTCCCATTCCTTGACATTTCCAGAGACTCCAAGCTGTCTTCAATTACCAGTCTGCAATTAGCTCTTCCTAAATCCCCCAATGAGGCCCAGCACTCTTAATCAATGAAACACAAGGGAGGAGGGGAAGGACACAGCCTCTCTGCAGCTGGAAGCATTTTACATGCCAGGACTTGAGGCTGAAAGGACTCTGTTAGCGGCCCTATGGGAGATCTATAGGGTGGGAAACCTTGGCGAGCACTGGAGTCTTGTGCAGCTCTGAAGCTCTGCAGTCAGGGGTAGGGGCCCTAGGGTCTGCAAACAGCCCTGGCTGAGGGTAGAGATGGCTGGTAGCCTTGGATTGCATCTCCCATGAGGCTGAAAACCCCTCTTGCTAAGGCTTCATCACATGCTGCTTCATCACACTGTGCCTCAGTTTCCTTCTCTAAAATACTGGTAGAGAAGCATCAGAATTCCCCCAGCAGCCCCATAGGAACTCTAATGGGTCTGATTCCAGCTCAGTTTGAGACAGAGCAGGTCAGAGCTGCCCCCCTCCTCAACACAAAAAAGGGATATAGCCAATTTTGGGGTTAGGTGAGGTTGTGAGAACATTTTGGCCCAGGCAGCCCCCCACAAGGTCACACAAATGTCAATATAAAGAAAGGATCAGAGCACATAGTAGGGACAGGGAGGATGGGAGCAGCAGACGTCTCAGTGGGTGCATGCAACACAGAAAAGCTTTGCACAGCACCCTGCCAGCTCAGACCCCGTCACAGGGACATCTGTGCTGTCTTCCTGGCTGCACAGCTTTGCCTGAATGAGCCAGATTGGGCCTAATTAGCAGCTCTGCTGATGCACACAAAGGTAGGGAATCCAGCTTATCCTCCATGACCTGCAGAGCCAGCACAGCTCTTCCTAGCTGAGGAGAACCCAAGGGTCTGGCTCAGAGGAGCTTCAAAGTGCTAGATGCAGACCCTGATGCGAGGGCACATACAAGGGATCCTGCTTGAGGAGCCCCAGAAAACTGAGCAACTGGAGGCATAGCAACCAGCTCTGAGAAACTCCTCCCTGCTCCCTGGGGTCTGCAGAAGCACAGAGCTGGTAATCAGGCTAGTAATACAGCTCCCACAACCTGCTGCTGCCAGAGAGAGCAGCCTGGCCCTGCAGAGCACAGGCAGTAAGGAGGGAGGGTGGGGTATCTTTAGGCAAAAAAAAAAAAAAAAAAAAAAAAAAAAAAAAAAAAAAAAAAAAGGAGGTGACGTGAGCTGTGGGCTCCTGGTTACATTCACTGCAGCAGACAGCAGGCATTCCATCTGCAATGGTGGAGGCCAGGATTGCTCACAGGGAGCCAAGGGCGGACACAGCAAACAGTGGTGAAATTTTGACCCCCCCCCAGATCGATCTGGGGAGGAAGGCTCCCTCTGAGAATCAACCTCCCATATCCCCATGGGGAGGAGAGTGGACACCCCCCAATTCCCCTTTGCATCCCACAGCCCAGCAAGTCCAGGGAGGCAGCACCAGGCCCATCCAGGCCACCTCTTTATTCTCCAGTGAAGCAAAGCAAGAGGAGAGGACCCCCCCCTCCCAAAACCCAGCACCCGCACCCCAGCCCCTAGGCCTCATCTGGCACATACACCATTCCCCACAGCAAGTCGAGGTGGGGAGGGGATAAGAAGGTTAAAGGGGAACGCTGCTCACCCCACAGTTGCCCTTCTTAGGGGGCTACAGGTTGGGGAGTTGGGGGGAAGGGACTGGGAAGCGCCCCCTCCCAGCCGCTCAAACAAAGGGACGAGCAGGTGGCCACCCTGAGCTGAAGGGCCCACCACACCCGGGGG